GATATTAATTGATAAAGTAAGAATATTAATAAAGTAAGAATGATTCAGAGGCACACAAAATTTACCAAATTTGGTATGAGACAATTTTAGTGCAATTTTCCGAAAATGTAAAATGAGACAATATTAGCAGGCCGGAAAGAGTATTACATAATTCAGCTCGCGAAATCAAAAATCACATGTTCGGCAAAAAAGTTGGCTGATAAGTCGAAAATAGAGTTATCAAACGGGCTCTGTAAATTTAAAATTTTTAAAACAATATTTTGAGTAATTCTTTGTAGTACATACTCCGTATATGATGTGATATATTATGAGTAATAAAGAGCTATTAGGTACATGTAATCCAAATGTAAAACAAGTATCATAGTATAATAGTTTTTTTTTTTCAAAAAAAAAAAATTCTTTCCCATAATTTTAAACAAACAATTAAGAATTAAGGAAATTTTGTCGTATTCGATTAAATTTCAACAAAGTTCTATACATTATTTATGTAAAATTTTCTCAATATCCAGACAGGCTCATAGGTGAGGTTATGTTTGGCACTTCGAAATGTAGGTGGAAGGTAATGTTCGAAATGTGTAAACCAGTGGCGGATCCAGGAAATAAAAGTGTTGGGGGCATCTATACATGAGGTACATGGAGAAAAAAATATCATGACCGTTGGTTGGCGGAATAAGTTGGCGTGTTGTAAAAAATGTTTGGTAATTTAGTTGTTTAACCGTAACAATTAGTAAATAAATGTCATATTTCAGAACGTTAACCTAAAACTCTTTTATTTATAGCGTTTTCATTTCAGCAGTTTCGTCTAAAAGCACTATGGCCGAACAGTTACTTATTAAACGACATTTTCACTTATTGAAAACGTTAAAAGGGGTCAGACCATCATTTTTAGGATGAAACGCCATTTTCCAAACACCCCATATATAATTATAATATAATAGCAAAAAGAATTAATAAATAGAACTTTGAAATTAAATAAAGTATATTACAATATAAAAAACTTATAACTTTTTTTGTGCCGGGGAACCTTTAAAATTAGATGCCTTCTATAAATTTCATCCTTTAATTAGGATGATATTAGAAATTTTTCATCTTTTTGTAGGATTCAAAGGAAGTTCATCCAGATTAACTTCTTGAGGAATTGAAGTAGCATATTGAAAAGTACTTTTAAAACATTTGCACTTGAGCTTTCCGGTGTTGAGGAGGGTGTTTTATTCAAAAACAAATCATAAAATCTAATAAAAAGTGTAATAAATATTTCGATAACTAATTACTATTCCACTATTTAGTCTTTAAATATTTTCGTTCAAAACAAAAATCTTTAAATATTTTAAACCAAATGTAGCTATGTAAAAAGGGAAAAATTCATAAAAATACTCCAAACTATGAAGGAGTGTGAGTTAAACACCCCAAACTTGCATATGCAATTTAAATACCCTAAACTATAAATGAAAAGTTATTTTTGCACCATTGTCATGTATTATTTCATTCACAAATGTGAATTTATGGGTTAATTGCTTAATTTAAAATATAAAATTAAAAGTGTTGCAATTATATAGATTGGGGGTAACATTATCTATATTCTAATGGATGTTTAGAATGTTAATTGTGTCTTCATGAATTTTAAAATATTTAAATTATGCAATTAGCATCATAAATTTACATTTTTGAAAGAAATAATATTTGACTATGGTGCTAAAATAACTTTGTATATATATAAAGTTTGGGTATTTAAATTACATATGCAAGTTTGAGGTGTTCATCTCACACCCCTTCAAAGTTTGAGGTAGTTTATTTATTTTTCTCATGTAAAAAATACATTTTGTATTTTACACGGTTAACAATGGATTTAAGCTGTTAAAATTTGAAATCCCCTAATTTAATAACATAATCGGGAAAACATTTTAATGATTTTTCTTTTACATTTGGGATTATATTATTTGAGCTAATTGGACATTTTAATTTGTTTTTTTATTGGGAGTAATTGTGTTGGCTACATTTTTTCTAATGGATCATAGGAGATTATTAGACCTTTAATTGGGGCAGCTGCCCCCCAATGCTGGTTGTGCATCCACCCTTGGTGTGAACTAGAAAATATTGTCTAGAGCTGAGATATATTATTTAATTCAATATAATAACTACAAGCACTAAACGGAAATGAAAGTGGAATATAACTAAACAAAAAAATTAAACACCCCCAAATAATTTCAATAAAATTGTTTTAAAGAAAATCTAATAACTTCCAAGTCATTCCTAAAATGAAAAAAATAGCAAAACATCATGAAATGAAAGTGGGAAAAAATAAAATATACAACAAGGCTGCACGTATAAGAATTTTCTAAATATAAATTTGTGTTAATGCTATCTCAAATTTATGTTCACCTTTCTAATTAAGGATATTTCCAATTGGAATCAATTTTTTTTATCTCATTTATGAAAGTAAAGGTTATTTTTTCTTCAGTGTACATATTACTACCTCTGTCCCAATTCGATGGTACCAATTCTTATTCACATGGTCAACACAAATCACTCTTAATCTCTTACTTTATATATCAATATTTTTTATCAAATTTGATTCAGGTGTTTGCGACTTTGTAAAGCTTTTAATGTGATTTCTGAATATGTAATCTTCTAAAAATAATTTGGGTGAGGACAAGGATCTGTTTGCTTTATCGTTAGTCAAACATCACAAACCGCAATGGTATCATCAAATTTGGACGGATGGAGTAATCTAGTTTTGATATATTTTGGTCGAGAGTGTCAGCTCTCAGAAAAGTTTTATTACTTACATACAGAGTATATAACAATCATATCGTGAGACTTAAAATGTTATTCAAGAGCTAGATAAATAAGGTAGACTGTATATAAAAGTTACGGAGTAATTCTTTTACTCGTGGATGTAACTTTAATATGGTATTATTTGGTCATGAAAATTGATATCATTTTTCTGTTGAATTTGGGGCATTTGTATTTTTATTTTTCATTGCATAATATGATATGTTTATGTTTCGATTATGGCTACTTCTTGATGTGATGAGAATCTTTTTATAGGTTTTATTCATCTGACCTTCTAGGTAAAAATTATCTAGAAGTCTAAATCATGCAACTTTTCTTTGTGCAATAACACTTATTTTACTTAATAAAATCATATATAGCTTCAATATAATAACTCAATCTAATGGAAAATAAATTGTATGCTGTCAATCACAATATGCACCCTAGCTATTGTCTCCTTCATTAAAATCGGAATGTCACAAAAAATATATTCTAAACTCTTTTCTTAAAGAAAGAGATCAAAAGACTAAATTGAATATTTCTAAAACTTAGAAGGACTAATATCTTAAGAAAAATTGATAACACCCATTTTTAGATAAAGAAATTACAAAAATGTGTAGTTAGTTTACAAAAAATAGTAAGTCGCCAATGAAATTTAATGGATAAAAATAGGCACCAAGCATTTTCTTTTTGTTTAAGTAAAAATATATTAATTTCAATTTGATGCAACTGTGTGTTACTAGGTTTAGACCGCAAACATGTTTAGATAATTAGTTCAAAAATAAGGCATACTCAATAAATTAGAACATGCATTTTAAACCAATGTTATAATCGATTAAATAAGTGATTTCCCATTAGTAAAACTAAACAACAAAATCATTTTATCTCGTGCACGGCACGAGTAAAGATACTAGTCTATGAACAAATAAGTTTTAGACTTTTTAAAGTAAAATGTAAATAATTTTAGTTCATGTATAAACTTAAGCCATCCTTTTATGGGAAGAAATAAAAAAAAGTGGTCTAAAGTTCCAACGTCATTGGTTTATGTTTATTGTATGTTCAAGTTCACTTATTTATCTTTATGGAGTTCACTTGGTTTGAGCCGTTTTCAGATAGGGGTACGTGTTTCATTTTTCAACAAAGTGGGACACGTGTTTCAATTCTGTTATCACAACTGGGGCATGTTATCTAACGCCGTTAGAAAAATTAATTCCTATTTTCAAAAGTCTCCGAAAAATTAAAAGAAAAATATTGGGAGGTACGCCTCGTCAAGGAGACCAACAAACTATCGTTCTTTTGAATTTTTTGGCTCTATTTAGATTATTTTTTTTTAAACGAATTCGCTAATATCACTTTTCCGATGAACTTTCTGGCGACAGGATGGCTAGAAACAAAAAAAAGATGGTCTAAAGGTTTTCTTGATGAGACACACCTCCTAGTATTTTTCTTTTAATTTTTCGGAGATTTTTGAAAATTGGAGTTAATTTTTCTAACGGCATTAAACGTCATGCCCCTACTGTGATAACGTAATTGAAACACATGTCTCACTTTGTTAAAAAAATTAAACATGTTCTCTTATCTGAAAACGGCCAAAACCACGTGCACCCTTTCTGTACTTTTCCCTTATCTTTATTATGTAAAAGCTGAGAAATCTAAATTTTCGTAAAAGAATTAGAAAAGATTAATAATATTTCATTTTTTGACTTTTCCAAAGTGAACCTCACATGATAATATTTTGGGAAATATAATTAAAAAACTCCAAACTTTGAATGGGTGTGAGGTAAACACCTCAAACTTGTGTATATAATTAAAATACCTCAAACTTTATATAAAACATTATTTTAACACTATAGTCATGCATTATTTTTTTAATGTAAATTTATGGTGTTAATTGCATAATTTAAAATATTTTAGCATTCATGAAGATACAATTAGCATTCTAAACTTTCATTGTGAAATAAATAATATTACCCTCAGTCTATATAACTACAATGCTTTTAATTTGATATCTTAAATTATGCAATTAACACCATAAATTTACATTTGAAAAAATAATACATGACCATGGTGCTAAATTACTTTTTATATAAGGTTTGGGATATTTAATTTACATATGCAAGTTTAGGGGTTTATCTCACGCTCTTTTAAAGTTTTGGATATTTTAATTATTTTTCGCTAATAATTTTTCTTAGCACTTTCTTCCCTCTTTCTAGTATTTGTCTAGACTCTGGATACGAAGTCCAAACACATCCTTAACCAATTTACAAGAAGCTCACGTAATATATGATTCAGTAAATTTTCGTGGGAGTGAATTCTCAGTCACAACTCACAAGCTTTCAAGAACTGCAAAACTAAAACGTGGTATAACTATCCACACAAGAGACGACATTAAAGTTACAAGGTACTAACAGGTCAACATTTTCACCTCTGCCAAAGGATTTGCTCATCAATCTTGCTGAGCCTCCCATTATCAAGTCGTTTCCACGTCTTGACCCTCTCTACCCCATTCCATGACTTCTCCCCTCTCCCAAGTTCAGCCAAAATGACTCTTGCCCTCCTTGGCCACCCTGGAACACCGTAACCATGATATCCAAAACCTCCACCATAACAAAACCATATGCCGTCAAGATTCCCACAGAAGTCGTTTGTGTGATCATGACCTATGAAAACCGCCTTTACGTCTCCCGTAGAGACAAGTGTGTTTAGGACTCCAGAGTTCACAAATGAACATGCTATATGTTCCTGATATTGGCCAACAATACCTCTTACAGGTCCTTGTTTAATTTCTGGGATGGGAATGTGGAAGAAGGTTAATGCAGGGGCGACATTGGAAAATTCAGTTGATTCGAATTTGGAGTGTTGATATTGCTCCTGTCATTTTGCGACCTGCAACACGTTAATGACTCCCACCAGCAATGAAAATTCCATGTCATGATACAAACTTGTATGCAGCATGTCAAGAAAAGAGGGAGACCCAGGATGAATGTCAATTAGTAGTTTGATTATGTGATAAATAAGGAAATCAAATCTAATAAAATTATCTCACACGGGCTAGATGCAAAGATGCTCACATATAAGATCTTAATATGGTAAGACGGTCATTACCCTCAAATGAGCACAGGTTTCACAGGCCAAATGTAAAGATACAAATTCACACAGTTTTGATTACTCATTCTATAGCACAAAACCAACAAATTCACGGATGAAATATGAGTGTCTTAATTTTTTACCAGCTCTCTTATAATTAATTTGTTATCTTCTTTAAGTTCATATTGCTCTTGTGCACAAAAGGAATTCCAGCGCATGCATCATCATAGACCTAAAGTTCCGCTGAAACATGAAAAGTGTCACCTCTTAATCGCCTTTTTAATACCTCTTATTCTATGTAGGGGTGAGCAAATAACCGATTTAACCGATATGACCGAAAACCGATGACCGAACCGACCGAAAAAATCGGTTTGCATTCAATTTTCATCAAAAAGAGTCTACATAGTTTGCAGCAAACTACTCAATCCTCGGTCTCTTTCCTTTATCATTTGTAGCAACATCTTTTCTAAATTTTCCCATTGCAACTCATCTAGTCTTGCACTTGAGCCTTTCATATACACACTTCTAGGATTAAATATCTCACCTCTTATACGGGCTAGCTTTGTAACTTTCAAAAAATCGTGATTGTAGACGAATGTTTGAATGAATGAATACCAATTTGTCACTCCTTTTACAATTCAAATGATTTCTCTTCACCTTGTAAATGTAAGAGTAAGTGCTCCATTTCCTCTCAACCGGGTAACTACTTATAGGCTGCGATAAAACCTTTTTTGCAACTTCTGCTAATTCAGGTGTCTGTGAACCATATGTTGGCCACCAATCAATGGCTTCTATCTATAATCACTGCATCCATTTGAGCTGCCATCATAGCAAACAGTTCCTTCTTCAAGTGAATCCTTGCAAATTGTATTATTAAGAGTCGTTGTTCATTTGGGGTTTCGCAAAATTTTCTAAAAGCCTTCATCACACCTAGCACAAATTCTTTATCCAAATTCGGAGCTTTTCTAGCAACTCCACCGGTGTTAATTTCTCAAGATAACAAACATCATCAAATCGTGGTGATAAAGCAAAACCCAAACAATGTGAAAGAACAATCATCTTCTCCCACCTAGCTAACACAATAGCCTCCACTTTTGGGAAGTATGGAGCGTATTGATTAGTAGCCACGATATCTTATCTTTTATTTCTCCCAACATGCTATCCATTTTTCATAGATTTTTCCGACTTTTGATTCTTCATCATCACAAAACTTGATTAGCAAACAAATTGATTTTGTTATTGCAAGAATGCTATCAACGTCATCCTAAAATTCTTCGCTCCTAATTGTATCAACAACTAACAGTCCAGTTACTCATGTTTTCATCCCCTTGTTTTACCCAATCCCTCCAAGAATTAAGGGCAATAATCGTAGCAAGAGCGTCTCTACAATTCCTTAATTTTTTCAACAAAATATAATGGGTGTGATTAAGAAAATACTTCACAATAACTTTCCCCCTCCTATATGTATTCATCAACCAATCAAGTTCCTTTACGAGATTTTTGAAAATCAAATTCAAGGTATGAACACAACAAGAAGACAAAATATGTGTTTGTACCTTTTCAATTTCCCTACACATTGGCCGCATCTTTGCAATTTACTGGTTGTCGGTCACAACTTGATGGACATTGCTCGATCCTACGGTTTGAATTGCTCCGAGAAAGAAATTTACAATCGCCACACCAGTTTTTTTCAATCCAGATAAGTCCTCAGCATACATTAACATTGCACCGCGACTGTTAACTGCAATGACATTGATCAAAGGTTTATGCTTGAATGACCACCGATCAAATACGATAGAAACACCTTGTGAGTACCAAGTATCTTTAACCGGTGTTAGGTCCTTTTCGACATCTCTAACGTATTCATCAAGCAAAATAGTCCTTCATTTTTCACTTGACGGAAGTTTATAACCTGAGGGTGCTTTGTTGATTGCACTTACCATTTCTATAAATTGAGGAATGCGCAATACACTAAAAAAATACCGTTTTCACACAATCCTCTCATTCCAAACATTCCTTTGGAATAATTGAGAGAAGTATGGTGGATTTGAATGTCATGAGAGGATTGTATGCAAACGGTACTCCCTTTCATGTATTGCTCAATCCTCAATTTATGGAAATGGTAAATGCAATCACCAAAGCACTCGCAGGTTACAAACCTCCACCAAGTGAGAAAGCAATGACTTTTTTGCTTGATGAATGCGTTAGAGATGTGAAAAAGGATCTAACACCGGTTAAAGATATTTGGTATTCACAAGGTATTTCTATTGTATGTGATGGGTGGTGTAATATCAGGCATAAACCCTTGATGAATGTCATTGCACTAAATAGTCATGGTGCAATGTTCATGTATGTTAAGAACTTCTCTGGATTGGAAAAAACTGGTATGGCAATTGAAAATTTCTTTTGAAAGCAATTGAAACCGTAGTATTGCATAATGTCCTTCAAGTTGTGACCGACAGAGCAGCGAATTGCAAAGTTGCGGCCTGCGGGTATGGAAATTGAAAAGGTACACAAACACATATTTTGATCTCCTTGTTGTGTTCATAAATTTGATTTTCAAAGATCTCACAAAGAAACTTGATTGGAATACATATAGGAGAGAGAAAGTTATTGTGAAGTATTTTCTTAATCACACCCAAGCCTCAACAATTTTTAGAGATAATTCAAAGTTTAAGTTGAAAGTTGCCAAGACTAGGTTTGCATCTGGCATCCCATTATATTTTGTTGAAAAAATTAAGGGATTGTAGAGAGGCTCTTGCTACGACTATTTCCCTTAATTCTTGGAGGGATTGAGGATGTTTTTACTTGGACTGTAATTTGCTGGTCTGGTCTGGTCTGATCTGGTCTGAACTGGTAAGGTCTGGTTTCTTTGTATTTTTATAACTATCCAAGTCTGGTCTGGTCTGGTCTGAACTGGTCTGGTCTGGTCTGGACTGGTCTGGGGCAAATTACAGTCCAAGTAAAAACATCCTGAGTAAAAAAAAGGGATAAAAACACAAGAGTAATTGGATTGCTAGTTGTTGATACTATTAAGAGCGGAGAATTTTGGGAAGATGTTGAGAGCATTCTTGCAATGACAAACAATTTTCTTGCTAATCAAGTTTTGCGATGATGAATGATCAAAAATGGGAGAAATCTATGATAAAATGGATAACATATTGGGAGAAATAAAAAATATCGTTGCTACTAATCATTACACTTCGTATTTCACCAAAAGTGGAAGCTATTGTGTTAGCTAGGTGGGAGAAGATGACTATTCCTTTACATTGTTTGAGTTTTGCTTTATCCCCATGATTTTATGATGTTTGTTATCATAGTTGTCGATGGCGTCAAATGGCGCGCGCCATGCGCCATGAGGCGCAGTTTTAACCCCTGCGCTACGGAAAAGAGCTGTGGCGAGGCAAATACACATGGCGGCGCCATTCTTGCGCCTTCGCCATACCTGCGCCTTCGCCATGGCGATGCGACTGCCTTTTCTAAAAAAAGGCCGCGTCTTTGAGCTGTAAGTTGTGGCCTTTTGGCCCATAATTATCTGCGACCCATTATAACCATAAAACTGTAACAAAAACTTACTATTTTTAGCCCATATTACTAACTACAACCCTAAAGTCAATAAACACAACAAAGTCAATATCCGGAAGTTAAAGCTGCTCTGCGCAAGAAAGGGTATGCGACAAACGACAGAAAAGCTGCTCTACACATGACTCTCATTGACTTCTTCCAACTACACAAGGTACGACTACCTCTTTAATGCTGTGTATAAATGAAGAAAAGTTCAGTTTATACAGTTACAATTTATCCAAAACTTTATATATTATATATATTCCTGAAAATGTGAACTTCATTTAATACTTCATGTGCTATGAGTATTAAATACAGAGCAGCTCAGCCTTTACTCCTTAATGTTAAATGCATAATATATTTATATGCTATGAGCCTATGATACTTTATGTCTTTATCAATTTATCACTTTAAACTTTGAAATAAATTTAGTTAGATAGATAGATGCTATGATCAGATAATTTATCAATTCAAATACTTATAGCATAAGCATAGTAAAATGAAGTTTAAACTGAAAGTATTAAACTGATGCTAGTAATTTAAATAGCTAGTATTAAGATGCTAATATGATATCATGCTACGTGCTAGTAAAATGAAGTTTTAAATAGTTTATCAATTTAGTTATAGCATTGTAAAATGAAGTTTTTACTTTAGAACTTAAAGTATTTAAAGTTTTAAACTGATACACTTTAATAAGTTAATTACTTAATTTAGTTAAAACTTTACACTTTACAGTTTAGAGTACTTGATACCAGAAGACTTAACAAAATTATAACAGTTTACACTTAACGGTTTAACATATACAATTATACATAGATTTTAACTTATGAGTTATGACATTGATCTGTTTTATGTTAATTGTTATTACAGAGGTAACCGAAGAGGCAGAGCCACAAAGGATGTCTGTTGCCTTTGCTAAGGAGTTGTGTGAGAAAGTAAAAGAAAAAAACAACAATGAATTGCGCTGCACGTACTGCGGGCACGTGACTAAAGGTGGAATTACAAGGTTTAAACAACACTTGACTGGGAAGCACCGCAACACAAAACAGTGTGAACTCATTCCCGCTAATAAGAGGGCTGAACTACAGGCGCTAGTCTTGAAAGAATCTGCTGCTAACTCAGAAAAAAATGTGTGTGAACAAACGTTTCGAAGTACATACACAGTACAGCAGTCTGGTGGGTCAAGTGCCAATAGGGTGAATGGAGATGATGACGTTGAGATAACTGGTTCTCAGTCAAATGCAGAGGGAGGTGGTGTGTCTGGGCCTATGGATAAGTTCGTATATCCAACAAAAAAACGTAAGAAGGAGGCATTGACACAATCAACAATCCCATCACACTTGAAGAAAAAAGAGAGGGATGAATATGCTCAAAGCCTTTGTTTGTGGTTTTACAGGAACAACATCTCCTTTAATGTGGTTCATGACCCTTTGCTGAAAGAAACACTAGAAAAGATTGGCAGGTTTGGAGCCGGGTTTAAAGCACCAACGTATCATGAAGTGAGGGAGACGTTCTTGCGAAAAGAGGTAGCCAAAACAGATCTGGTGGTCAGTGAGCACAAAAAATTCTGGGAATTAGATGGCTGCACTATTATGTCAGATGGGTGGCAGGATAAAAGGCACAGAACTCTAGTGAACTTGTGCGTGAATTCTAGCAAGGGGACAGTGTTCATGAAAGCCGTAGATGCTTCATCTTACAAGAAGACCGGGGAAGCACTTTTCAAGCTCTTTGATGAGTGGATTAAAGAAATAGGTCCTCAAAGTGTGATACAAGTTGTGACCGACAATGCTAAAAATTATGGATTAGCGAAGAGGAAAATAGAACAAAGATATCCACATATCTTCACAACGGGATGTGCAACTCACTGTCTTGACCTTGTTCTAGAAGACTTTTCAAAGAAGATGCCGATAGTTAGAAGAACTGTGAAGACGGCACAAGGGATTACTACCTACATCTATAGCCATACCCTTGTTCACGACTTGATGAAGGAATTTACCAAGGGGAGAGAGCTAGTTAGACCTGCTGCCACCCGCTTTGCCACTAACTTTCTGACTCTTCAAAGTCTTCTCACGCAGAAACACGCATTGAGGCAAATGTTTGCTTCACCGAAATGGTATGAAAGTGAGTTTGCAAAAACTACGGAAGGTAAATCTTGTTTTGAGTCGATTTATCGTCAAAGCTTTTGGAGAAGTGTTGCCTATGTTATGAAGATTTCTTTGCCCGTAGTGAAGGTATTGAGAATTACTGATGGAGAGGTGCCTCCAATGGGCTTTATTTATGAGGCTATGGAGAGAGCGAAATTGGGAATAAAAAACACATTGGGAGGTAAAGAAGAGAAATACATGCCTCTTTGGAAGATAATAGATAAACGTTGGAATGAGAACCTGCATTCTCCATTACATGCAGCGGGGTATTATCTCAATCCTCAATTCTTCTACCCTAATTCACGGCGAATCCTCGGAGATGAAGAAGTATGTGATGGCTTTATAAAGTGTGTGGAGAAGATGTTGCCCACTAGCATTGGAAAGAGTGTAGAGTTCTCAACTGAGATATCAAACTATACAAATGCTAGAGGAAGTTTCCGAACTAATATGGCAATGAACAATAGGGACAAACAACCACCGGGTATGCACACTTTAATTTGTCTTCTCTTTCTTATGTAAGTATTTTATTCACTTATATTTGGTAATGAGGTAACCTACTGCCTACGAACTTATTTTTATAAGCTTTCTGCTAGAACTAACTTTGTAGGTTTATAGAAGTATAGAACTAACTCTGTAGGACAGCAAGTGCTAGCCATCATTTTTAGGTTTATAGAACTAACTTATTTTATTTCAACTTTCTGGAAACTGGAAAGTCCTAAACTGCAATCTATTGTCATTCTAAATTTCTATATGAAATCTATTGTCATTCTATACAATCTATACCATTTAAAATTTGAGTTTTCGTAGTCATAAAACTACTGTAATTGACTAATTGACCTACACTTGCAGTCAACTTACTGTTATGGACTGGAATAGTTAAATGATGGCTAGCACTTGCTGTAATTGACTACAAAATTGAAATGGAAAGCTGAAATTTTAAATCCTGAAATCTGAGTATTGTTTTCTAGATTATTAATTAGCACTTGGTTGGAATTTTAAATATAGTTGACTGGTGGCTTGCAAATGGCTCCTCGTCTCCCACTTTGCAACATCTTGCTGTTCGGATCCTTAGTTTAACTTGCAGTGCTTCTGGATGTGAACGAAACTGGAGTGCTTTTGAAAATGTAAGTTCATAAATCTGCCTTTCATATTTAATTTAACTGTTTAACTATTTAAGTTATCTCACTATCTGTAGTTGATTTATTATGTACTTGTTTTAGGTTCAAACCAAGAAAAGGACAAGGTTGCTGCCAAAAAAAATGAATGATTTGGTATACATTCGGCAGAATCAACGTCTTCAAGATCAAGCTTTCAGAAAAATGAAAATATGTTTGGAAGACATTGATGATTGCAATGAATGGATTGATGAAGCTGCCGAGCAAAATGAAATGGAAAATTGGGATGTAGTGGAAGAAGTTGTTGGTGTTAATGAAGCAAATCACATTACAAGAGCAACAACAACAACAAGAGCATCAACACTTCAGTTGCACGACGAAGAGGAGATGGAGGAGACAGCGGAGGCGGAGGAGACAGATGAGGTTGAAGATCCCTCTGATGATGAACTCAATGAGGATGATGTGCCATTGCTATCAGATTCAGACCAAGAGGATGAGGAGTGGGATGATTGATGATGATTATGGCATAATCATCAAACAATAACAAGCTAACAAGCCTAAATCCTAACATATTTTGCATGACAAGAAACTTCTTTTGAATATTAGGTTTTTTGGAAGTACTTTAAACTACTTTAAAGTACTTTAAACTGTTTTTGTGTTGTTATTCAACTTTTTATATTGTTTTGGTGGTTGTGTTGATCAAGTATAGTGTCTATAGTTCGTTTTTGTGTTTTTTTTTTGTCACGTGGCGACGCCATATTTGCGCCATCGCCATCGCCATGGGAAAAGGCTTGTGCGCCATGGCTGTCGCCATGCGCCATGACAACCTTGTTTGTTATCATGAGAAATTAGCACTCAGTAGAGTTGCTAGAAAATATCCAAATTTGGATCAAGAAGTTGTGTTAGTTGTGTGATGGAGGCTTTTAAAAAATTGGCGAAACCCCATAAAAACAATGGCTCTTATGGCAACCGCTCAGATAAATGCAGTGACTATGGAGGTCATTGATTGATAGCCAACATCTAGTTCAAAGACACCTGAATTAGCAGAGGTTGCAAAAAAGGTTCCATCGCAGTTTATAAGTAGTTACTAAGCTGAGAGAAATTGAAGCACTGACTCTTACATTCATAGTGTGAAGATTAATTTTTTGAATTGTAAAAGAGCTGATAAATTGATATTAATTCATTCAATTTCCAATCACGATTTTCTGAAAGTTACAAAGCTGGCCCGAATAAGAGGTGGAATATTAATCCTGAAAGTGCGTATGTGGAAGGCTCAAATGCAAGACTAGATGAGCTGCAATGAGAAAACTTAGAAGAAGATGTTGCTCCAAATGATAAAAGAAAGAGGCCAAGGATTGAGTAGTTTGCTGCAAACTATGTTAACTCTTTTGATGAAAGTTGAAACTGTGTTTAATTTTTTTTGAAGTGATGTTTATTTCCTATTTTGTTGAAGCTATAGTTGGAATTCTGGATACATTCCAAATTGTATGTAATTAATATTATATTAATCATATTTATACTTAGTAAATTGTATGTAGTGTATGTTACCATACCACAACAAATGATACAGCGTACCGCATACCGAAATAGTGTACCGAAGAAGCTTACCCCTCGCGTATCGGATTAATATTCGCGATTTGTGTTCCCGTTTTCATACCGCGTACTGTAGCGTACCGCGATCCATGTGACTATGGATTCAACAAATGAGGATGTAATTGTGTAAATACATGCATGTAGTTGTATGTAATTATGGAAACTCTGTGACTGTGCACAATAGAAACTTGCTATACCTGATTTCCTTTAGAAATGCCACGAAGCCATTGAAGTTGAGACTCTTTAATCCATCCATATGTTCGAACTCCATGGACTACGGCTCTGTCCCCACTGTCAAGAAAATAGATATTAAGGACAGTGCTATTCACATACTGTGAGCCCGGAGCACCCCATACTCTCAGGTTATAATTCCCGAACCCATCAATATGTGGGGCCTGGTTTTGGTTGCGTGGATCATAGGCAGCCTCTTCAGCTGAAGGAAAAGTTTTTGACAAAGAGTAATCCATGAGGGAGATGAAAGACATCAATTCTTCACGATTCATGGTTGATTCCTGATCATGGTTTCCTAAAACTGCTGCCCAGGGGAGCCCAGCTTTTATAACTGGCGCAAAAGCTCTGAATAGAGATTCAGCTGCATCTGTGGCACTTGTTCCAAATATATTATCTCCTATAAGTCAAAACAAAAGGGATAGAAATATCACATACACAGGACAGATAGTGGAGAAATAATGACAAGAAGCTAAGAAACATGAAGTTAAGACATTCAAAATCTTGTTATGTCTAACTGAGTGGATATAGTTTCAGAGTTCACAATTCTGAAGCTCTTTTCGTTGTGGAGGGAGAACTTTAGCAAGCCATATGAATATGTTTTACCTGCCAATATTTTCTTCTGGAAACATATCCCACGTTCAAATCACATCTCCTTGATTTACTTATGCTCTAAACACCTTGTTAAAACATACTCTACATGTGTCATGCGATATCATCATAAATTATTATACAAACAACTGAAATGCCATTATGACATGCATGCATCATCACATCCAACAGGATCTGCCAAAACTTTAAAGATACTGTTTTACATTTTGAAAAATCATCCACATTTGCTACTTGTCTAAATCTGTAATCGTCGTTTCCCGAAATAATCACTTTCACAGTCTCCTAAGTCCTAACAACAAGAAATATAAAGAATCACAAGTATAATTGAAAGAAATATTCAGAAAAAATATCTCTATCAAGACAAGATTATCTTTATGTTAAAATGCCCTTTGGATGCTGAAGATTACTCAATTTTTCTTCTCACAGAACAGATGTTTCTTCTCACAAACACAACATGTCTTGTGTGTGCATAGACAAGCTATGTCTCCGAGAAAAATGTCTGTGAGATGGGTGTCATACAAGTGATATACACATGATGTAAAAAAATAGAAAATCCATGGTTTATAAGTTGTACAACATGCCCTTCAATCTACCCATATACAATGGCTTGTCACCCAATTACAAAGGAAAAATCATTTTGTACTATTCTTACAAGGTAGATGTTACATGGTATCAATATAGGGCTCACATGAGAAAGAGTGACTTTTGATTTAACGGTGAGATCGAGTGCCAAGTAAAAGTAGTAGAAAAGTATAGACAGCCAATAATCTTCCATTAGTAAAATTATACTTCTTGCAATTAACTGCTGACTCTGTCCCCCATCATCCCTCCCTCCCAGGGAATTTATCAAAATTTCCAAAAAAAAAATAGAGTTTTTATGTGAACCTCTCTTTTGCTGAAATAGAGTACAACAACGCCCTACACTTCGATAACAATCCATTTCCATTGTTTCAAGTGAGGTGCTAATACATAGCACACAAACTCTGTCGCATAACATCACTTCTTTTCCTCTGTTATCACTTACCTAAAGTTAATTCTGAAAGACATCTCATATCAAACAGTAAGCTAAAAATTCTGTACATTTATCTTATCTAGTACCTCAAATAGATGTTCTTTAGTTCAACAGTCAGACTTGCAAAATGTGTCAATATAATGTATTTATGTGACTAAATCAACAATAGAATACCCGTAAAAGCAACGAAATCGGGCTTCTCGAGTTGAATCATCTTTTCAAGGAACTGAGTAGTGTTGAGGTCAGAACAGTACGCGACCTCACTGTCCAGCACATCCCTGCATCTAGTCCCCAGTCCATTCCCAAAATGCATGTCAGCTACCTGAAAAATAACGATATACCCAAATCTTCACCTCAGTAGTCAAAGCAATCAATAACAACAAAATCTACAAAATTTTACCCCGAGATGTCCTGAGATCATATTACCGGAGAAGCATATTATACCTGAAGGATTTTGAAAGTTCCATCAGAGTTGAACCGCAGGGGAAGCGGTGGCAGCTTCTTGACTCTGACATTTTGGTGATTGAGGGTGAGTTTTGGGGAAATAATCAGTACGTCAACAAAATGAAGGAAGGCTATTGTGAGAAAAGAGAATGACAAAGTTTGGATCCATGTTGAAGAAGTTTCCATTTTCTCAATGCTCTCATCGCTGAATCTTTAGAAAAGTTCTAAAAATTGCATTCATTTATTAAAAATCTTTAGAAAAGTTCTAAAAATTGCATTCATTTATTAAAAATCTTTAGAAAAGTTCTAAAAATTGTTTTCTGACAATGCTATCAAAACGTTCCGTCTGCTGAAGTTCTTGGGATTGCCCGGACTCACAAGTTTTTTCAGGGATAAATCAGGATAAAAAATGAAGGAAAAGGAATAAGCCTCATAAAAAGTAATACCGTAATTTTTAGAGATAACTTTTATGATTTTCGATATGACATCAATATAAAAATTATGAATTATGGTATATTTTTTTGAAAGATCGGAGTATAAATATAAAAGTTAGAGCATTTCTAAGAAAAATGGGATTTTTAAAATTATTGGGTCCCACCATTGCTCTTCTTCCAATTGTCATGCGCTTTTCAGGACTCATGTGATCCACATGAGTGATGTGGTAGTCATGCGTAGGCGTGCAAATGAGCCAAGTCGTTCGTGTGCCGCTCGTGGATCGCTCGGAAAAAGCTCGACTCGAGTTCGACATCTTTCAGCTCGACTCGAGTTCGGATCGACCCGAATACTTAACAAGCTCGAGTCAAGCCTAATTATTTCAGGCTCGTGTCTCGTGAGCCGCTTCGCGAGCCACGATGTGTGTGAGTATAGATATATTATGTATAATAATTATATATATAATATTTTTGGAATGTTTATTATAATTTAGGATTACTCTATTTCTAATACTTATAATATTATAACTGTTTTTTTTAAAGTATATTATAATTGTAATAAGTAAATATAATATTATTTATTATTATAACCATATAATAATCAAGGTTTAATGTAATAATTTAATCTATAATAATACCTAAGAAAAATTGATTGTAATAATCACAACTATTGGCAATCCGCTTATAATGATCCTAACTATCGATTATTTCAGAATAATGCCAACTTTAGGGACCTTCCGCGAATAATAGTCCCTGTAAATAAATTCATGTAGTTTCTAAAGTGGATGAGAAGAGATATAGCAAGTAATCCCTATAAATAATCTTAATTTTTAATTTTTACGCTTAATTTCTATTTAAAATTCACTTTTATAAGAGTTAATATTTGGTCATGGACCATTATTGGCGGACAGTCCGTATAGTTAGGATTATATAAAAATAATTAATAGTTGGGATTATTGTTAGCAGACCGGCAATAGTTGGAATTATTATTTTCAATTTTTTCTAATACCTATTTATTTTTCCAGTAGCTCATACAAATCAAGGTTAACAACGGTTTGAGATCATAACTAACATTACCGTGCGTGTAGATCAGTTGGAAATCCATTAGGCTATAAGAGACGCTTGCAACCCGAGTTTCGAGACCGTTTGGCAACACTGTTTTTCGGCTTATCAGGCTTATCAACCAACTTTTTCATCAAACACGTAATTTTTGCTATCCGCGCTGAATTATGTAATAAGCAGAAAAAGCAAGGTTGGAGTTACTTTTCTGGCTATATTGGCTGAAGTTACTGTAGATGACAATTTTAGCTATTTTTACACGTATTTTTTTTCTTTTAATAAAATATATTTTATTTTATTAATAAAATATATTTTAAAAATATTTTTTTCTCAAAAATAGCATAATTATTAATATAAAAAAAATCTTTACCGTGAGTTTGAGAGCTTCTTCTTAGGGAGCGCGAATCGTTTCTCCTAGCCTCCTAGGGCAGCCGCCTCTAGGCTTTTTTTTCGAATTCGATCATATTGATCGAAGTTCGGCTGTTCTTGCTCGCATATCTGGCCGCGGAGCAGTGGTCTGCTTTTGGCTAAGGTAGAGCGATCACGAGTTTTTCTCTCTAGGGCTTTGACTATGTCGGCCGCTGGAGCCTTTTCCGATTTCGACTTTATCGAAGATCGGCTTTGTTATCCCTTGGTCGCTGGTGCTCGACTGGAGTCTAGGTCAGACGCGGAGGGCGGAGATCGGTGGAGGAGGGCAGATTTGTTGTCATGGCTCGAGGAGATCGGCGCTGTGGTCAAGGTTCGAGGATGCGGCGTTGCTGTCGTCGTTGGAGAAGATCGGCGCCGCCTGTCCGCTTACTCTGGTCGCACGGAGCAGGGATGAGTTTGGTTATGCAGGGACGGAGGATTGATGCATGGTCTTTGGCAGCCAAAGGTCATGGAGGATCAATTAACATGGTACCAGTGGTACGACCTCCTCCTGAACCACCACCATGGGATGCACGAGGTGCTAGAGTTCGTGAACGTTTTTCTTGTAGTTTTTATATGTTTGGTATTGTTTTCTTGTGTCCATTTTTGTTGTTGGGTTTGACAGTTTGTTTGAGTTTTTTGCCTCTCTTTATGTCATTGGGTATGGTTGGATCTATGGGAATAGTTTTGGCTGTGTCAAGCCCACTACATGGTTAGCGATTCGTGTTGGTCTCTCGGGGGTGACCGTCTCAAAGTCTCACCATAGGGTTACAGTCGTAGTTGTTGGAGTTTCAGTTGGTGTCTGTTTTATTTTCCCTTTGCTTGATGTAATGATCCTGATGAATCTTTTGATATGAATAGAGGCATGTTTTGATGATCAAAAAAAATATTTTTTTCTCAAATTAGCAGAATCAGCCAATGCAACCATTTCAGCCAAAACTTCATATATTTCAGCAGAATCAGCCAAATCAACCGATTTTCGTGCTACCAAACGGGCTTGTTTGGTAGTTTACACGTTAAATCTTTGCACGTGAAGTGATTGCATGCAAAGTATAGGGAAGCAATCATTTTGCATGTAAAATAGATTACATTGTTTGGCTAGATGTGTAATTTATTTTTAAATTGCACACAAAGCCATTGCAGTGCTTCATAAAAGGCATGCAAAGTATTTTACCACCCTTCCCCCTCGTAAAATACTTTACATGGTACAATGCGAAATGTTTTAAAAAAGTACCCTACAGTTTACATTAAATAATCAAATCAAACAGTGTAAACATTTTACGTCCTTACACTTCGCATGCAAAGTAATTACTTTACACCCTACCAAAAGCCCCCTAAAAGTATACGTACTATTTAGAAATATGGATGTTTTCCTTTGGGCTGTAATTTGGTGGTCTGGTCTGGTAAACGTCTGGTCTCTGTGTATTTTATAACTATGGAAGTCTGGTCTAGTATAGTCTGATCTGGTCTGGTTTTGTCTGGTCTGATCTAGCACTGAAAACAGTCCAAAAGAAAACTTTCATGTCTACTTAGAGTGTTTATAATTAGAATTAATAATGGTGTTCACAAGAATAAATTGAGATGAATTGAAATTAATGCTCGTTTAAACTCCTAACCTTTACTCCTTTATCCATTCATCACTCTTCGTCTCGGATAGTAATTTTATTCGTGAAATAATGGAAAAGGGTACTTCAATATGAGCTCAAATCTATTTATATATAAGAAAAGAAATAGCTCATACAATTACACTTTTGTCCTTAATGAATCCTATGTGTCTTGCTCTCCATAATTCTCTCCTTTGATATGGGAATGTCATGTGGCAACTTTACTTCAAAAATACGGAATTCTCCAATGGTATAGAAAAGAGAGTAGCCGCAGGGGATGCATTTGGTGGGACCCAAGATATTAAAAACCCCAATTTTCTTTAAAGTGTTATAACTTTTTCATTTTTAATCCAATTTTTATAATAAATATATCAAAATTCATAATTTTTTGTGATCTTTCATTTGAGATCAATATTGAATATATAAAAATATAATTTATTAACGGTCTCTATAATTATGCTTCAAATTATATATACATTTTTTAATCTATTTTGGCGTCTGAATTGGAGAAGTCATTGTAGGTGATCATTTTTAGCTACATTTCGTAAAATGTTTTTCTTTATTTCATTAATAAAATTAATTTAAAATAAATCTATTTATATATAAGAAAAGAAATAGCTCATACAATTACACTTTTGTTCTTAATGAATCCTATGTGTCTTGCTCTCCATAATTCTCTCCTTTGATATGGGAATGCCATGTGGCCACTTTACTTCAAAAATACGGAATTCTCCAATCGTATAGAAAAGGGAGTAGCCGTAGGGGATGCATTTGGTGGGACCCAAGATATTAAAAACCCCAATTTTCTTTAAAGTGTTATAACTTTTTCATTTTTAATCCAATTTTTATAATAAATATATCAAAATTCATAATTTTTTGTGATCTTTCATTTGAGATCAATATTGAATATATAAAAAATACAATTTATTAACGGTCTCTATAATTATGCTTCAAATTATATATACATTTTTTAATCTATTTTGGCGTCTGAATTGGGGAAGTCATTGTAGGTGATCTTTTTTAGCTACATTTCGTAAAATGTTTTTCTTTATTTCATTAATAAAATTAATTTAAAATAAATTTATCCATTCACCAAAAGATTCAACTAAATCAACCATTTCTCTCAAAATTCATCCATTTCAACTGATTCAACTAATTTCTGTACTACTAAATGGTCTCTAAAATCAAAATCAGACCATGTAAGGAAAATCTAAAAGTACTTTAAGAAAACATTATAAAAACTTTACTTCTTAAAGTATTTTATGATTTAATGTGCATTGGTTTCATATATAAAAAAATGCGCAAATGAAAATCTAATTACTTCTAATAAAAAAAAATTGAGTTGGTCTATTTACTTTTGTTTTGAGTTGGTCTAAATTGAAGACGATGAGTGATTTGCATTCATCAATTGTATGATTAATAAAAATCTAATCTTATTTTCATTTCTATTCTACGCCCTTGGTTAAACTATTACAAACCTTATTTCTTTGTATTATAATGTCACTCAAGAATAAAACATTAGCAAATGAAAATAATAAAAACATCAAGTGCTAATAAAAAAACTTCTAAATTTAGTTCAATTTATAATTCTTTATTGTAAGGAAAAGGGGCAAATATGAAAAAAAATGACTTATTCGGCTGAAGTTACTTTACATAATCATTTTCAACTACTGTTCATATAATCTTTTATTTACTTCATTAATAAAATATAATTAGTTCTTTTAAGTATAAGACAAGATGGCTAACATTTGAACGGGATAACTTTCTCTCTCATTTGCAGTACTTTTTAATAAGATAGTAACATAAGCCGACCAACAATTGAGCAGGGAAATTTGTTCTTTCACATGTGGTGCTTTTAGATATAAAAAGATGAAGCCATAAGCCGCTTAACAATTGAATGAGATATT